TGATGCTGCTTGGCCTGCTGTGTTCATCCAGCCCTGCACCTTGTTGTCTCGGATTCTCCAGCATCTGCAGTTCCTACTATCTCTGCTCAAACACTTCAATGCCTTTCACCCACATTCTCCCATAACCCTTTACCCCATTGATAATCCAACATTTATCCGTCTTTACTTTAAATATACTTAAAGACTGAGTTTCCCCAACACTTTGGGGTAAAGAATTCCATTGATTTATAACTCATCTCCATCTAGGTGACATCACTTATTTTTAAGTTGTACCCCCTGGTTCTGGACTCCCCAATTAGGGGATTCACCCTGCATCTACCTTGTCCATCACTAGTACTTTCGTAGGTTTCAATGAGATAACCCCTATTCTTTGACAGTCCAGAGAATACAAGTCTATGTTGTCTAATCTCTTCAGAGTACAGTTCCTGCTGCTCCGGGAAAGGTTGTTCCATCTCCTCCTATGGCAATAATATCTTTTATGAAATAGAGACAAAAACTGAGTTCAGTATTCCAGGTGCGATCTAACCAGCGACTTTGCAATTGAAGCAAGACCTCATCTTGAATCTTTTTGCAATAAAGGCTAATATTCCATTTGCCTTTCTAATGGGTTGCTGTATCTGCATAATATTATTCAGTGACTTATTGATAAGGATGGCCAAGTCTTTTGCATATCAAACTTTCCAACCCCTCTCACCATTTTAAAAAATGCTCTGTACGTCTGTTCTTTCCCATTATATTCTATCTCCTGTGTTCATACCCAGTCACTTACCTTTTCCAAATACTCCTGGAAATATTTCATCCTTGCAACATACATTCCTGCTTAGCTTTGTATCATATGTAAATTTGGAACTATTATATTTCAGCCCTACATCCGATCATTGTTGTTTATTGTGCCAGCTGACGCCCCAAGTACTGGCAATAACTGGTCTATTTAACTACAAGCTGTGCATCTAACACTTAGTTAATAGATTTCTTCAAGTATTCTATTGCTCCTTTTTTTCTATTTATTTTCAGTTAAAACAGCACATGGACATCTTCCTGTCACATGACTGGCCACAAGGTATCTATCACTATGGTAACAAAAAACAACTGCTTAAGAAAAAAGCTTTCCTCCGCCCAGAGGTCGAATCTAATACCTTGGGCAGTCCTGCAGCCACAGAGCTTCTGCAGCACCTCAAGCCTTCTTATTGGTTTGCAGCACATCTACACGTGAAGTTTGCAGCTTTAATGCAGCATCCGGTAAGATAAGAAAAGAGCAAACTTGCATTTTACAGAAATAAATTATTTGATGGCTTGTGTAGTTCACTTATGATACAATATTTTTATAGATACCTTTTAAAAATGAATGAACCAGATTTGTTTTGTCTATAATGTCGATCTGAGATGGCGTGGCTTTTGTGATTCCAGGTCACAAGTGTAGTTCTCTCCTAGTATCCTCTGAAGTGTCCTGGCAAGCTACCCGCTTGTAGAAAGCCCACACTACAATCATCAAGAGGGTAGCCTACCACTGCCACATCAGGACAACCAGGAATGGAGAACTTAAGCCAGCCTTGTCAATACTGCTCACAATCAGAGAATTAATTTTTAATAATTATTTGGGCTAAGACTCCGATGAATGAAGAAATGATTTAAGTTTGTTACAAGCTCATGTTCACCCAAGTTAATGTTTAGCAGGTTTATTCTCAAGTTTTTTTTTCTATTTTCTTACAGAAATGTGATGGTGAGCAGCTACCAAAAGCAACAAAATTTTTAGCTCTGGATAAATGTCTCCCTCACAGAGATTTTCTGCAGGTATTGAGTTACTCATTATTTTGATTAAAAACAAACATACCAGCTCAAATACTATCTTCTACCTAAATTGTGGTAAATTCACATGTTCACCTGTGTCATTCACTGAGATGTCCGAAAGAAAATACAGCACAGTTTTAAGAGTAAATTGAGTTTGCAAAACAATTGAATATAGTGTGTTCATGTCTACATCCATTAAAGCATCTGGAATTCCCTTTTAGAATCTTGGATGCTGGTTGCATGACAATTCCAGGTGCTTGGGATCCAGATAATGGGAATTTTACTGGTATTGTTATTAGAAGGGAATAACAGATCAGGAGCTATTAAAGCCAGTTCAAGACTTACCTTATCAATAAAGACAGAATCACCTAACACAGTCAGAGATACTGATCTTGGTTGCTCATTCCTAAAACACACATTCATCTTTTGGCAGTGACCAGTCGAGTTCTTCTAGCTGCTACTAGTATTTCTCATGCAGCTGATAGATTTAGCTAACTAGCATCTCCATTCCCCATCCATGCCAGATACTAGGACAATGACTATATTAGAATAAAAATGTCAGTTTAAGAGATCGTTTTCTTTAATTGTTTTGCCTCTTGACATTCTACATATGACTGTACCATAGTTTATATTTTTGCTAAATTTAATTTGCATTTTTAATCCTTTCATCTCTCCCCTTCTGACTGTAGATTGTTGAAATAGAGCATGACCCAAATGCTTCTGAACATCTAGAGTATGATTCTGAATGGCTGGCCATTTTAAAAGCAACAAATGATTTAATTAATGTCACATCTAAATCATGGAACATGCCAGAAAATAATAGTCTGCATGCAAAGTAAGTGCGACTTAGTTGTCATATTAAATTGTGCATTATTTTACAAGATGAATATTTTGGAGATAAAAACAGGTTATGGAAACTCCACATTTTAAAACTGAAAATGTATGTTTCTCTGCATACTAGAATAAAGTATTTTATTGTCATATTGAAGAAAAGCAAGGAGGTGGTGTTGAACCTTCGTAAAACATTTGTTTAGTCTGAGAATATTGCATCCAGTTCTAAGTTGCACACTTAAGGATAACGAAAACTTCAGAGAAGGTGCAGAAAAGGTTCGAAACAATAATGAGACTTCAATTATAGGGATGGGTTGGAGAAGCTGGGGTGATTCTAAAAAGGAGTGAATGTTGAGAGGAAGATCTGATGGAAATGCTCAAAATTATGAGAACAGTAAGCAGAACGAATAGAAGGCTGTTGGTAGAAGAAGTTGTCTGCTGGCTCGCACTATCAGCAACATCCACGAAAGATTTAATGCAGTACATTAAGATCTGAAATACCCTCTTACTACCCTCGTGTTGTTCTATTATCTTGTTTTATCATCTAGAGCTGTTACATTGATCATTTCTGTTTGATGCAGGTGGGACTACAGTGTGTCTGAAGAAGATATTAAAGAACTACTGGAGGAGCAAGCTAATAACCTCCAGATCCCCTGTAATTTTAGCCAGATAGCACCGGTCTATGACCCAGCACATCCACAGAGATCTAGAGAACCTATCCACGTGATTAATCCCCAGACAACTGAGTTCTGTGCCACCTTTGGCCTCACCGATCTGAATGCTAAGGTGAAACAGATGGAAAGTGAGGGTCTTATGGAGGAAGAGGATGAAATGGATGGTGCAGATAATCCAGAGGAGCCCAGTGATTATACTACAGACACTTCTGGACTTTCTTCCTCCATAAACCCAGATGAAATCACACTGGATGATGATGATGATGATGATGATAATGGGGAGCTGAGCGCACATAGCGTAGAACCATTGCCAGATCACCCTTTTACAGACTCATCAGCAAATTTCTCTGATGTGAGAGATCTTCCTGATTCTATGGTTGTATCATCTGATGAGACACAGGACTCTGCAAATGAGGAATTAGACAAGTCTGGTGACAGCAGCATGACTGAGGGAGAAGGAAGGACCACACGCACAAAGGCTGTGAAACGAATTAGCAATGAGCATGAGAATGGAAGTAGTGGAATAAAACTAATTAAGAGGCGCAACCAGAGCATATATCATACACAGAGTAATGAGAATGAAGATATTGAATGATTATAAATATTAAAAGGGATATTGAACTTCAGGAGAAGCTGCAGCTTCTGTGCACAATTGAGTTTTTAAGATTGACAGCAATGACTTGAAATACAATCAACCTTTGTTTTTTGTTTTAAAAGCTGGACTTAGCAAGTGTCATAACATATCCAATCGGTATATAATGTGTTGAAATACACTAAATAAATGTATTTTTACCATCAAGAATAAATTTTCCACATATATTGGTTCTCAAATGAGTTGGTCCAGGTAATTAGTGAAATAGCCAAATCATTTGTGTTTGTGACCTCAGCTAGTTTGACTCACTCCATGTGATATCAAGAAGCAGCTAGAGGACTATAGGCCCTGATGACGTTCCAGCAATAGTACAGAAGACTTGTGCTCCAGAGCTCACCCCAGCCTGTAGCCATGCTATTCTAGTACAGCAACTGCACTGGCATTTATCTAGAAAATTATCCACAAAAGACTGGTCAAATCTAACTGGCAATCAAAGTGATGAACATTGTCATTGACAGTGTTATCAAGCAGCACTTACTCAACAATAACTTTCTCATTGATACTCAGTTTGGGTTCTGGCAAATGCACTCAACTTCTGACTTCATTAGAGTATGATGGAATACTCTCCGCTTGTATGGATAAGTGCAACTTCGAGATCACTCAAACTCAACACCATCCAAGACAAAGCAGTGGTTTCCCACCATCCCCGTTATTAACAGTCAGTCTTGCTATTTTTAAATTCACTTGAGTTGTTAGTGTTGTTTGTAATTATGGACATTAAATTACAGCATTTTCAAAAAGATTCCCCTTCATTCCAGTGCATGTATTTATTATGAGTTAGTCTCCATCTTCATAAGCAGTGATAGGAGTAGATAGTTTAGCTGATTGGAAATTGATAGCCACTCATCTTATTTCAGGAGATGAACCTAAATCTAGTACTGGACTGTGGTACACAACTTGGTGCCATGTCATAATTACCCATAATTGAACCTGATCACAGTTACTGTCTTGTAATGAGGCCTTACAAAGTATTCATGATGTACTTTTTTAAAAATAAGGATACACTTTGCTTGTGAGAGACAATTGTAATGTTCAATTAAAATGCTAATATAATTCAACTCCAAATAATTCAAGGCCATAGACTGCAAGATATAGGGGCAGAATTAGACTGTTTAGCCCATCCATTTTGCTCTGCCACTCTATCATGGTTGATAGGTCTCTTAACCTCATTCACCTGTCTTCTACCCATAACTGTTGATCCCCTTACTAATAAAGAACCTATCTCTGTCTTAAAAACACCCAAAGACTTGCCCTCTACAGCCTTCTGTGGCAATGAGTTCCACAGATTTACCACCCTCTGGCTGAAGAAATTTTTCATTTCCATTCTAAAGGGTCGACCTTTCACTCTGGCTCTGCCCTTGGATCCTTGTCTCCTACTAGTGGAAATATTTTCTCCATGTCCACTCTATCCAGGCCTCTCAGGATTCTGTAAGTTTGAACATACTCCATCAAGCACAGAACCAGAATCCTCAAACATTCCTCATGAAAAGCCCTTCATCCCTGGGATCATTATAAACCTCTGAGCCCCCACCAAGGTGAGCACATCCTTCCTTTAAGGCAGTGTCCAATAGTAATCACATTCCAACTACAGTCTGACCAGACCCATATGCAGCCTCAGTAGTCCATCTCTATATTCTAGCTCTCTTGAAATGAATGCAAACATTACATTTGCCTTCCTAACTGCATGTTAGCCTTGAGAATCTTGAACTAGAACTCCCAAGCCCCTTTGCAGTTCAGTTTTCTGAAGCCTTTCCCCAATTAGAAAATAGTCTAAGCCTCTATTCCTACTAAAGTACATAACCTCACACTTTCCCATGTTGTCGCTTCTTTGCCCACTCTTCAAGTCTGTCCAAGACCTTCTGCAGCCTCCCCACCTCCTCAATACTACCTATCCCTCCACCTATCTTTTGCATCTGCAAACCTAGCAGCAAAGCCCCCAGTTCCTTCATCCAGACAGTTAATTGTTGGTTTGTGATCAACAAATTACATTATGCCAAATTAAGTTTCTTGATGAAAGGACTAGAAGTTAAACGATTATGTCCACTCATGAACACAAGAACATGGCAAGCAAAGAATTAATTTCCAACTTGGAAATCTCAGTAGCTAGATGCTAATATCCAAATTTTGGATGCATGCTATGTGATTTTCTAACCACAAAGAAAGAGTAAGTTTATAAAACATATCAGACACTTGGATGTGTGTTCAGTGAATGAGATTCCAAACACAATCTAGACTCTGCACATGGGTTGTTTTAGCCTTAACTGCAAAATCTGACTGTTTTCATCACAAGTTGTTCTTACTTCCTTTTGATCAACCCTCAATAGCCTTTCATACGTGGAAAAGAAAATTGCCTGTAAACCAAAATAACGTGCAACCTTTTTTCACATTAGTGAGCTTTCTTAGTTCATTTTTACATGTCTAACACACTACAGGAATAAACGCTGTTTAAACTCAAAACCAATTAGGTGAAACTGTTGACTGAACAAATTGTAGATGTTGGTGTGTTTGCTGAGCTGGGAGGTTTGATAGCATTACCACAGTCATTCTGCCTTTCAGCAAGAACAATGATGATGTTTTTGTCCTTTGAGGTTCTTCAGGGCATCCCTTTCCTCTTTATTATAAAGTGTGTTCATTTGTGTTCTCTTTGTCAGTAGGATTACAATGGTCTATCTGATCATTTGTTGTGTTTCTTCGTTTAGTCTGTTTTTGAGTGTGGATTCTAGTGCTGCCAGGAAGTCTGTTTTCTCAGTGTCTCTGGTTGTAGTTCAGTCCTTTTTGGTTAGTACTGTTTGTTCTGTATCTGTGAGCCGTGGTAATATTTGTGGTAAGGAAATACAACAAGCTATCATACACACCATCGTACCCCTACTGACAAAAAGAACACAAACAATGGACTTAATAAAGAGGGAAGGGATGCCCTGAAGAACCTCAAAGGGCAAAAACATCATCATTGTTCCCGCTAATAAAGGTAGAAAGGCTGTGGTAATGCTATGAAACCTCCCAGCTCTGCGAACACACAAACATCTACAACCAGCACCCGAGCTACAACTCTTCACTCACCCTGAACTGTGAACAAATCTCAGTATTTGGTCATCAACTTGAAATGCTGACTGTTTCTCGTTCCTTTGCTGCCAGACATTTTCTGTTTTTATTTCGGATTTCCTGTATCAGCAGAATTTTGCGTTTGGTTTAGTGTTTGGTATTGTATTGTTCCTCTGTATCTCCATTCTGTGCTTTATGATCATAAAACTGTGACACCTGCCTTCTTATTATGTACACCACATATACTGTAAATCTTTGCAAATGATTTTCATGTATCTTAAAAATCTCAGGTCACAATGAAACAGGCAATGAATGAGCTAGTGATTAAGTATGTTCTAGATTAATGTAATGATATATGCCTTATTCTTTGCTCCTAGGTTAAAACTTCAACAGTATCTGTATAGATTGCTAAAAACTTTAACGTTTGCATCTCTCTCGTGTTTACAACAGTCCAGTTAATGAGTGGTATAACACCTAGTTCATCACTTTTCAGAGTAATGTTCCTCATATTAACTTCAACAATAGGACTGGTGATCTTGCAAACTGCATAACTAGAGAAATAGTGAGCTTTTTAAACTAAATAGTGGGGGCAAGAACAAAATGAGGCAAGTTTGGCACAGAGTAGATACTGTACATTCCAATAAATAAGAATTTTAAGAGACATCACTGGTTAAGTAAAGACAAACATATTATCAAACTAAGAAAAGATACAAGGATAAGCAGTAGGTCAGAAGATTAGGCAGAATATAAAAAATTACAAAGAATTACAAAAAGATTAAGGAGAGAAAAATTAAGAGTATGAGAAAGTTGGACAAAAATATAAAAATAAATAGGAAAGTTTCTTCAAATATTTAAAGAGTTATAGTAAGTGTTGGTCTGATTTTTTTTTTTTAAGAAATTAATATGGAACAGATATTTGTGTTGATCCTCATTACAGAGGGTACAAGCAGCAGTCTGGAAATAGCTAAAAATCAGAAATGAAAGGGATGGAGGAAATCATAAAAATGACAATTACCAGGGAAGAAGTAATGAGTAAAGCATTGGAATTGAGAGTTGATGAGTTCAATTTCCTGATGGATTTCATTCTAGAATCTTAAAAGAAGTAACTAGTGAGATAGTTGATGATTCTCATACTTTAGATTGGAAAATAGCTAATGTAACTCCTTTATTCTAAAAGGGAGACAGACAGAAAGCAGGAAACTACAGGCCAGTTAGCTTAATCTCTGTCATAGGGAAAATGTTAGAAGCTATTATTAAAGATAATAAAACAAGGCACTTTGAGCTTGACTCAAATCAGGCAGACATATTGTCAAAGGGAAATCATAATTAACTAGTTTATTGGAGTTCTTTAAAGGGGGAACCAGTGGATGTATAGTACTTAGACATCCAGAAGGCATTTGATAAGGTGTCACATCAAAGGTTTTTGTGGAAAATAAAAGCTCAAAGTGTGGGGTTAACATACTGGCACTGATAGAAGAGCAGCTTCGAAACAGGAAGCAGAGAGTTGGAGCAAGTGGGTATTTTCAGGCTGACATGTCATGAGTGGTGTGCCACAGGGATCAGCGCTGGGGCCTCGACTCTTTACAAAATGGTTTGGATGAAGAGACTGAAGGTCCAGGAATTAAGTTTACTGATGACACAAAGATCGGTAGGAAAGTGAGTTGCAAAGAGGACATGAGGAACCTACAAAGACTTGTAGATCAGTTGAGTGGGCAAAGATTTGGCAGATGGAGTACAATGTGGGAATGTGTGAGGTTAAAAGCTGAAGAGTCCTGAGATGCAAAGAGATCCCCATTCATGAATCACAGATGATTGGTATGCAGGTTCAGCAAGTAACCAGGAAAGTTAATAAAATGTTGTGTTCTAATGCAAGGGGAATGGAGTGCAAGAGAAGCAAAGTTGTGCTTCAGTTATACAGGGCACTGGTGAGACAGCATCTACAGTATTGTGCACAGTACTAGATACTGTACTTATGAAAGGATGTACATGTGTTTGAAGCACTTCAGAGAAGATTTACTCAGCTAATATTGGAATGAGTGGATTACCTTACGAAGAAAGGCTGGACAGGCAAGGCACTTACCCTCTGAAGTTTAGAACAATTCGTGGTGACTTAATTGAAACATGCAAGATC